GCCAAAGATAGCAAAGAATGGAATGCTGCAATGCAAGACGAATTGGACTCTATAGAAAGGAATGGAGCCTGGAAATTCGTTGAACTCCCGAAAGGAGTTAAACCGATTGGTCTGAAGTGGGTTTATAAAGCCAAAAGGGATGCCAAAGATAATATAATTCGCTACAAAGCGAGACTCGTTGCGAAGGGGTATGTCCAAAAACATGGTATTGACTACGATGAGGTGTTTGCTCCAGTTGCTCGAATGGAAACAGTTCGTTTGCTTCTATCCCTAGCTGCACGAGATGGTTGGGAAGTTCACCATCTTGATGTGAAGACGGCTTTCCTTCATGGAGACTTAAAGGACTAAAGGAGGATGTATATGTATCACAACCCGAGGGGTTCGAGAAGCCAGGAAAGGAACACCTGGTGTACAAACTGGTCAAAGCTTTATAAGGCCTGAAGCAAGCCCCAAGAGCCTGGAATTCAAAGCTAAATGCATTTCTACAACAACTTGGTTTCGAGCGTTGTCCACGTGAACATGCAGTATACAAGCAAACCACAAAGAATGGACCTTTAATAGTTGGTGTATACGTTGATGATCTAATCATTACAGGTCCATGCAAGGATGAGATTGTTGGGTTCAAAGGACAGGTGAAAAACTGTTTTGAAATGAGTGATTTGGGGCTTCTAACATACTATTTGGGAATAGAGGTGAATCAAGACAAAACTGGCATTACTTTGAAGCAAACAGGATATGCAACAAATGTTCTAAAAAATGCAGATTTGTGGGAGTGTAATCCTGCAAAATTTCCTATGGATCCAAGTCTCAAGCTTGGAAAAGATGAGGAGCTGGAGTCTGTTGATGCAACTGAGTACCGAAGGATTATTGGGTGTCTTCGATATCTAACCCATACAAGGCAAGATATGAGTTACGCAATTGGAATAACCAGTCGATTCATGGAGTCACCAAAAACATCACATATGCAAGCTGTAAAACAGGTGCTGCGATATTTGAAGGGTACAATCAATTACGGGATTCGGTACACGAGGAATGGGGATGCAAGTTTGGTTGGTTATAGTGACAGCTCACATGCCACTGATCGGGCAGATGGAAAGAGTACAACTGGGATGATTTTCTATTATGGGGGTGGTCGGTGGTGTAGCCAAAAACAGAATACGGTTGCACTATCTTCATGTGAGGCTGAGTTCATGGCGGCAACGGCAACCGTATGCCAAGCTGTCTGGTTAAAAGGATTGCTCGAAGAAATCACTGGCCAAAGCATGGAACCCATAACAATTCACGTGGATAACAAGGCTGCAATCATGTTAATGAAGAATCCAGTGTTCCATGGGAGAAGTAAGCATATTGACACTCGATATCATTTCATTCGTGAATGTGTCGAGAAAGAGCTAGCAAGGATTGAGCATGCAAGTGGTGACGAGCAGAAAGCTGATATCTTGACTAAAGCATTATCGAGGGTCAAGTTTATCGAGATGAGGCAACTGATGGGCATTGAAGATTTGGCAGGAATGAGGACTGGAATCAAGGGGGGTGAATGTTGGTTAATTTCAGCCCTGGATTTAGTTTAAATTTAAAAAAAAGGCAGGCAGTTACTAGTTACAGTTTTTATGACAGTTTCCAATAGATGTGTTGGTTAGAAACTGTTGTGTCTATTTGTAATGGTTGTGTTGTTTAGTCCTCTATTTATATGTATGGATACATAGTTCTGGACAGCAGTTTTATAACAATAAAATACTCTGTTTATATCACCAGATCTGATTTTTTCTTTCATCTGTATGTTGCCCCTCTGTAATGTCCTCAAGCACTTGAGATAACGTCATAAATTTATTCTCATTTCACTGCTGGGAAGCAATTCTCAACTGATGCCCATCCCTGTATGTATGTATGCTAAAATGAAAATATGTTTCTATCAACAATGAACACAACTTTTTATTTTACTTTTTGGTAACTAAAGTATTTTATACTTATATTTTAAATATTTTTTCAAACTAGAGTACAAGACTAAAAGAAAATGAAAACAAGATGGCATAAAACATATCTAAAAACTTTCGATCTCTCAAAAATCCTTTAATATAAAATTTGAGAGTTGATTAAATAGAATGATGACATGTGTCACTTAATGAGGGTTTATTTTAATGCCACATCAGCACTCCACGTGTCTTTAATTTGTGCGTTTTCATTCGAAAGGCTTCAGCGTGTAAAAACAAATTTCTCTCGCCCATCTTCATCGTCCCATTCTAGAAAATCATTATCGGCTGCGCTTAGATCAATGGTAAGACAGTGCATTCAAGATTCTCGATCCCTTTAGCACTAACTGAATGTTCAACTTGTGCGATCAAACAAAGAAGCCCAAAAGCAGAATTAATTCAACAAGCAAGTCTAATAATATGGGATGAAGCGTGTATGATGAATAAATTTGCATTTGAGGCGTTAGATCGCACCTTGAGAGATATTATGCGGTTCTCTAATAAAAATGCTGGAAATGAACCTCTCGGTGGTGACTTTCGTCAAATACTTCCAGTTATACCAAGAGCTCCAAGAGAGGACATTGTGGAAGCTACCATGAATTCATCGACTTTGTGGTCATATTCTAAAGTATTTACATTGACTAAAAATATGAGATTGCATTTATCTTCATCCATCCACGCAAACAGTGACACACCACTTTTTTCTGAGTGGATAATCAAGATTGGAGATGGATAGCTTGGCATGGTTAATGATGGAATTGGTGAAATTGAAATTCCATCTGAATCCTTGATCCCGAATTCACGTTCTCCACTTAAGAGTATAGTGAATTCACGTATCCAGACTTATTGGAAAATATGAAAGATTATACTTTTTTAATGGATAGAGCTTTCTTAGCACTCACGCTTGAAGTTGTTAAAATGATCAACGATTTTGTTTTGTCTCTTATTCCTGGAGACAAAAAGGAGTATTTGAGCTTTGATAATACAGATGTAGGCATAGATGGTGATTGGATAACGACTAAGTCTTTGAACAATATCAAGTGTCCAGGGATTCCAAATCACAAAATTGTTTTGAAAAAGGAGTACCAATTATGTTATTGAGAAGCATTTATCAAACATCTGCGTTGTGTAATAGGACAAGGTTAATAGTTGAAGAGTTGCAAAGAAATGTTATTGGTGCAATAGTTGTATGAGGAAGCAATGCTGGCAAGAAAGTTTACATACCACGAATGAATTTGGTACCGTCAGATCCTGGATTACCGTTTAAATTTCAAAGGAGACAATTTCCAATATCTTTATGTTTTGGCATGACAATCAATAAGAGTCAATACCAAACATTATCATTTGTTGGATTATTCTTGACCAAATCGGTATTCACTCACGGTTAACTTCATGTTGCAATTTCACGAGTGAAAACTAAGAAAGGATTGAAAGTCTTAGTTTTAGATGACAAAGGTAACCCTTGCAATTGCACCAAAAATGTGGTTTATCCTGAAGTTTTCCAAACATTTTGGATGTAATTAATACATTTATACGTTCTTTTCAATTTTTAAATACATGAATTTTAGTTAGCATACTCTGCTTATGTCATATCATTCATTAAACTTCTAACATTGTATATTAAAATTAGCTATATTTTTTAATCATTTACTAACACCAAAAACTTAACTAAGTTACAAACAACATGCGTTCGACCCCGTTGTACGGGTTAAATACTAGTGTTTTTAAAGTAGAAAAAATGTATTGTATGGTTGCAGTCTTGTGGATAAGGTGTTGCGTTGAACAAGAGAAGATGTAACAGTGCACTGTTTAAAAAGGGAAATATTTGACAACATGAGTTACAGAACCTATGAGAAATGAAAAAAAATCTCAAACCATTAGTTCAGATTGATGGATGAGTCTTTTGTGCATAAATCATATTGAATAGTCTTCCAAAATCCACTTGAAAAAGGGATTCCCTAAATTCACTTTCTTTTTGAATATCAAATGATTTATTGTGACCGCTAAAACTCCTAATGTAATATCACCGGATTTCATTGTCCTCATAAAAAATCTTAAAAGTCCTATCTGGAAAATGGAAACTCCACTATTCACTTATGTTACGTTGTCTACAAGTCTACTGGGTTATTGTTGCTGTTTAAAATCGATATTCAATTAAGTCATTATGTTTTGAATACCAAAAGATATATTGTGATTGCTAAATCTCCTAATTGAATATCACTAGATTTTGTTGTAACTAGAAACCATACGACTTATTTATATTGTTTAAAAGTCTGGATTTAAAAGGTTTTTTCTGCTGTTTAAAATATAAATACTAAAAAAAATTCTAAACTCTTGAAAACCCTCAATACATCTCGTGTATAGTTTTTGCTGTTATTAAAGAACTGGAGGGAAAAAGGGGATGTAATCTTTTGTAGGAGAATATAGATATTCAGTTTATTCTTTAGCATGTGCATCCTCGCATATTTATTTGGTTATAATATAAAACATCTAGCATCATGAGGCAATTGATATATTTTGTATTATATGTATTTTTCCCATTGACAAAACTATAGCGGACTATACTGAGTGATTTCAATGCGGCTAGCTGGCTCGGTTCCATGTTGATCACGCTGTAACCCTTAATTTATTAATTTTTTCCTGATGGGCTTTGGGATTCTTTGTCATATCACTAGCTGTATCACACGTATGTGACTATCTGTTTCATATAGCTGTTGATTTTGCACTTTAAGTAGGAAAAAATCACTATCCAATGGATATATTGTGATTTCTCTTGCAGGCATGATGTTGGTTTTTAACGTAAATAAAATACTTTTTATTGCAACTGTCAATCAAATTTTATTACATTGTGCATGGGTCTTCAATAGGAGAGGACTTCTTATCCTGCAAGGATTAGAATAGAGTAAAGAGATGAAGGATTAATGTAGAATGTCTTCTTACCTTTCTATTTATTGTTTTTCCCTTTTCAAAGTTTTAAACATTTCCCAGTTTAGGTACATTTGTTCATCTGGTTGGATTGACCTATTTCAGGATATTAATGAAGAGTGGATATCAGATAAGACTCGATTCTTCTATGATGGTTTGAAGAGGCAGAGGATAAGTGATCCAATGATTCGTGGAGCTGATGGACGCTTCAAAGTTGTAAGCTGGTGCGATGCCTTAGCTGTAGTTGCAGAAGTAATGCGTCAAGTAAAACCAGAGGAAATTGTTGGAATTGCTGGAAAGCTATCTGATGCTGAATCTATGATGGCCCTGAAAGACTTGTTAAACAAAATGGGTTCTAATAATGTGTGGTGCGAAGGTAATGGCCCAAGCCCAAATGCTGACCTACGATCTAGGTATATCATGAATAGCACCATAAGTGGTCTTGAGAAGGCCGATGTATTCCTTTTGGTTGGCACCCAGGTAATATATACTCTATCTTAAAATATAAGTCTTGGACTGCGAGTTGCCTTATCATTTTTACCCTGGGTTTTCTGTATGCTTATGGCGGAATAGTGGAAGGGTAGTTTTGTAGTTGATAAGTGCACCGACCCAGTAGACGTTGAGTGAAGTCCCACCTGTGGGGTCTGAGGAGGGTGGATGTACATAGGTCTTACTCTCACCTAAAAATGTAGTGAGTGTTTCAAAAGGCCTTTTGGTCAAGAAAGCATAAAGGTGTTGAGAAAATCAACTAAAAAAATTACCACTAAAAGTTAGTTGAAAAAAAAAAACTACGGAATGAAGGATGTGTAAATACGAGCATACAAATACTAAACTAAACCAACCCTACAAAGTTTTGACTCCAAATTTTGCCTAGAAAGTCCAAACCTGTAATCTCTCAATAACCCCACATATTATTTTTACGTCACCCTTCTCTTCTAAATCCTTACACAATAATCCAAGGCAACAAACGCCCGAACTGCTTAACATAGCATCGACCTTTAGTCTTTTGATTTTTTCTATTCACCCTCCTCTCCTCCTTAATCCCTACCACATCTTCCCACATATCTTTTTTTTTCCGGAGCGGACCACCAAAATCAGTGGGGCTACGACCCGTAGCCAATTTATTAAAGTGGAAAAGAGACCGATTATAGAATGAGGGCCAAGCAGGGAGCTCAACCATCAGGGACAGGCCCCCGAAGAAACAGGGATAACAAACAAAATAAGAAAAAGGGGAAGAGGAGGGGAAAAGTAACAGCTGGACTAAACACCACCCAGGTTCTCTGCCTCAGCCAAATCTCTTATTTATTACTACCTCTGTCCCGTTTTATATTGCCTATTTTGACTTTGTCCCATAAATAAGGAAACAAAAAATGCCATTGACCTTACAAAAATGCCATTGCACTCATTTGAAAAAGAGAGCATCATCAGTGTTAGGAAAGAAAAAGTATGGCTACACAATAGAAATTTACACCAATTTCACACAATGTTTATGCATTACACAATTGAAATGGATGAATATAACCAGATCTCAATGTTAAAATTGAATTTTCACGCAACATAAGCATTACAGAATAAACACTTGAAACATTACACACAAAATTTTGAAATGGATGAATCTGACAACACTCTCAGACAAGCAACAAGAACAATACAGCATTAACACATGTGCTTCCTCTCCCTTAGCAAGAAATGCAGATCTGAAAAGCTAAAAAAACCATAGATCTGAAAAGTTAAAAAATAATTTGGGATAAAACCATAGATCTGTTAGAGAAAGCTAATATTAATGAGAAATAGAGAATTGATTGAAGAGAAATATGTATACTTAAGAGAAGAGATTGAAAAAAGACAGAGAGAGAAGCGGTTGAAGGAAAAGAGAATAATTCGAAGATGTGTACCTGGTGGCTTGATTGTTGGCGATGGATTAACAACGCATATTGTTGCCTACACAAATTTGGAAAAGAAATCCTAATCTGCAAGTGAATAAAAAGAGAAGATATTGAAGAAGCTAGAGAGAAGAAGAAATCGAAGAAGATAAAAGAAATGAAAAAGAAATTGGCCAGGAGAGTCAGAAAATGAGCGGTGGAACTAAAGGGCAGGAGTCAGTAATCCGAAGGGTAGTTTAGGTATTCAACTAATAATTTTTGGGTATAAAAGGAAACATGCAATTTCATTTGGGACGGACGAAAAAGGAAAACATGCAGTTTAAATTGGGACGGAGGGAGTACCTTACAGGCTTTAGCTTTCTCTTGGACTTTTCCATTCCACCTAGTCCCCTCAAAGACCATTCCAGTTACCTCTAGAGACCCCTAGAACCTCCATAGTTCTAATACAATCAGCAATCCACACAGTGTAAGCATCACAATCATGTGCTAGCACAACTAATTTGTGCCAGGGGCTTTCATTTCCAATTTTTAGCCCTGTTTTGCCGGCCTGAGATCCCAATTGCTACTTTTGTTTTTTGGAACATTCTCCTTAGGTTCAGAGATTTTTAATTTTCTCAACTCAGAGAGTATTTCCTGCAAGATTGAAAATCCTTCCCAGATAATTCGTGCGATATCAAATCTCAGCAAGACCCCAAATATGGAATATCATCTGGTAGATAAAAAACAAAGCAGAACATATTGCAGAATATAAAATAAATTAAGAATCATCCGATTGAGTTGGCTATCTGGTTATTTGATAGCCATGATTTCAGTAGCATTTTCTGAACCCACACAAGGTGCAAAGAACTTTCTCTTTAAAATTTACTGACGAAAGATTTCCAGACTATTATTATTATTATTATTATTATGATTATTATTATTATTATTATTATTATTATTATTATTATTTATTCATGGATATGACATATTGTTTAGTGTCTCATTGTCTAATAATCACACTTGTCAGCCAAGGGTTGAAGCTGCCATGGTAAATGCAAGAATCCATAAGACAGTTCGCACAACCAATGCAAAGGTTGGTTACATTGGCCCTCCCACCGATTTTAACTATGCCTGTGAGCATCTTGGTGTTGGCCCTCAAACTCTTCTTGAAATTGCTGAGGATCGTCATCCTTTTTCCTCGACAATCTCTAATGCTAAAAACCCATCAATCATTGTTGGTGCTGGAATCTTTGAGAGAAGCGACAAGGATGCTATTTTCTCTGCTTTGGAGGCCATAGCAAGAAAGGGGAATGTTATTCAACCTGATTGGAATGGGTTTAATGTATTGCTTGTCAATGCTGCCCAAGCTGCAGCCCTTGACCTTGGACTTGTACCACAATGTAGCAAAAGTGTAGGGTCTGCCAAGTTTGTGTATCTGATGGGTGCTGATGATGTGAACTTGGATGAGTTACCGAATGATGCCTTTGTGGTTTACCAGGGGCACCATGGCGACCGTGGTGTGTATCGTGCCAATGTCATTTTGCCAGCAGCAGCTTTCAGTGAGAAGGAAGGGACTTATGCTAATACTGAGGGGTGTGCACAACAGACTTTGCCTGCGGTTCCAACAGTTGGTGATGCCAGGGATGATTGGAAGATCATTCGAGCTCTCTCTGAGGTATCAGGGGCACGTCTACCCTATGATTCTCTTGGGGCCATCAGATCCCGCATTGGTACTGTGGCACCAAATCTGTTGAGCTTAGATGAGAGACAGCCTGCTACATTTTGGCCATCTCTGAAATCTGAGTTTACAAAGGAAATGGATACAACAACTCCATTCAGGCCTGCAATCGACAACTTTTACATGACTGATTCTATTACCAGGGCTTCAAAGATAATGGCACAATGCAGCGCACTATTATTGGAGAAGTGAGTACTGGACCATTTTGCAACTTTTTTTCTTCCTTATGACTGTAGTATATTTGCATGTCTGAGTTTTCTGTTAAACTTTATCAAGCTATGTGACGCCCGCCCTTCTTGGCCTTGGGTGAATGTAGGTGGTGGAAAATAAACAATTGGGTTTCATGTAAACCTCAGCACAAATGTAAAACTCATTTTCCCTCTTAACCTTTTTTTTTTTTAATAATTTGAACTCAATTTGTATTGGTATATTTTGTTCTTCAACTTTAAGGGAATTCTGCCGTAGTCAATGGTAAACCTCGTGAATGTGAGATTTTGTATACGCAGTCGTATATTGTAGTGAGTACAGATGCATTTGCATTTTGCAGAACTTGATCATGGGATGGATTAGAAGTTAGAACCTCTTTTCTGTAGCGGAATCACGATTTCTTGATATTAGAAGTTGGATTGGTTGGAAAAACATATAAACTCTAGGAGTATTACAAAGTGAAATTTCCACTAATGTAGTACTTAAATTTTTTCATTCCCTAAATAGTACCCGAGTACTTGAATAATGTTTAGTGAGGAAAACAATTCCTTGGACATTTAGTTTGAACAATTTCCAGTGGCGATTAACATTTACTTGAATAATGACCATTGACATTGAACATTGGTACTACATTAAAAAATTAAAACATATGGTATCACATTGGGAAAAATATTATGTTTTAATGTTATTTAAGTAAATTTACATAAATCAAAAGAGTGCTTCTATCAAGCACCTCAAGGGCATCATAGACTTTTTTACGTCAAGAAATTTTTAAAATAATACTTTCTCGAGGCCCTCCGTCAAGAAATTTATAACATAATACTCATTCGTCTTAAATTATACTCCCTCCGTCCTAAAATTAATTTTCCATTTTGACTTTTGCAGTCAAAGTTTTTAAACTTTGACTGCATAATACGAAAAAAATATATTGAATTTTCATATAAATTTAGTATTAATAGATTCATTTTGAAACATAGTTTTGAAATATATTATTTTGATAATATATATTCATATAAAAATGGAGATATTAATAGTCAAAGTGCCGCATTGGAGACCGTGAAAAGTCAAATGGAAAGTTAATTTTAGGACGGAGGGAGTATTATCTATTTTGGTTTACGATATTTGATTGAAATTATTTTCAAATCATTTTATACATAATTTTTTTTCACTTTTCATTTTTGTTCGTCCATTAATTTTCTTTCATTTTCTTTATTTGAAAGAAAATTAATGGATGAACAAAAATGAAAAGTGAAAAAAAAAAAATTATGTATAAAAAATTTTTTCTTTCATTTTTTCTTTATTTGACAACCTACTCCCGAGTAGGGGCAAGGTCTGCGTACACTCACCCTCCCCAGACCCCACTGTAGTGGGATTCAACTGGGTTGTTGTTGTTGTTTCTTTATTTGGCAATTTTTTTATACAAAATGTCTTAACTACCCTTACAAACATTAACCCCAACTCAAATACCCAATGCCCTAACTGCAACTCGCCCACTCTTTTTTTCAGAGAATTACTCGCGGGTGACGCGAGTTTTGTCGAAATAACTTTCAGATCCCTCTATTTTCAAAAAGAAAACCGAGGTCCTTATATTTTGTTGTAATGATTGGGAGGGGACATTTCATCCAATACATCATTCGTAAGTGTTAATAAATGTATTTTTTTTCTATTTTTCCAATACTATTTTTTCCTATTTTGCCATTACCTTGTTTTTTCTTTTTTTAAATTTTTTTAATTCATTTGTTTTAATATAATACAAACAATTTTGAATTTTTATACGATTATATAGAAGAAATTCTAAAATAACACTTTAAAAAATAGTAACAAAATGAAAGAAAAACAAAGAAATAAAAAAAGGAGCGACCTAAGATTTATTACCTTAAAACATTTAGAAAAAAATAGGAAAAAAATACATTTATTAACGTTTATAGATGAAATATTGATAAAATGTCCCCTTCAAGTCATTACAACAAAATGTAAGGACCTCTGTTGTCTTCTTGAAAATAGAGGGACTTGAAAGTTATTTCAACAAAACTCGCGTCACCCGTGAGTAATTTTCGAGTAAAAAGCAAATTACACCCTCAAAAAGTAGAAAAAAGCTAAAATGCACCCTCACTTTTTTAAAATATCATAACTCACCCTCAAAATGTATTATTGCTTCCCACTTCACATCTAAAAGTCTAAATCCGTTCACTTCCGTTAGTATCCAAATTACTCCGTTAAACATACCCACCCAATAAACCCTAGTCACATCTCCTTAGTGCTCTTCGTTCTTCCCAGCCGTGCAGACAGAAGAAGCTCTAACATCAATTATATTCACAGGTGAGTCAATTATAGTCATACTCTAGGATTGTGGCTACACTTTGGCCCTTTGAACTTGCGAGAACAAGAGAAATCATGGGAGAAGGTATTCCATGATCCCAAATTTCAAGGTACGATTAATAATTTTAATTGATTATTTTTTTTACTTTCCTTAAGAATTTGAAGCTGAAAAATCATGTTTTTTGCAACATTGTGTTGAAATCCAAAAAGAGGTCACCCATGACAAATTTGTTTGGAAAATGATTGGTGGAATGACTATGCTGGCAATGGTGATGATGATATTTTAAAGGCAATGGTTTGGTAGATTTTGGCATGAAAAAATGCAGCATTGGTCTTAAGCAAAAAGAGATAGAACTGAGAATAAATGTGTATTACTTTCTGAGAATAAAGATAGAAGAGGTTATATTACTTTCTCTTTAACGGCGTTTGATATTTAGGCTTAAGTGGAAGTAACAATACATTTTAAGGGTGGATTAAGGTATTTAAGAAAAGGTATTTAACAATACATTTTAGCTTTTTTCTACTTTTTGAGGGTGTATTTTGCTTTTTACCCGTAATTTTCTGGGATAAAATTAAGAAGATAGTGATAAGACAAAAAATTACTTCGGGATACCATCAATTTTTTCGTAATTACTTTCAAGTCTCACGTTATATAAAATACTCCGTATATATACTCTCGATTTTCTGGTAAGAACTTTCAAATCTCACGTTATCTGAAATATACTCCGAAAGTTTTTAAAATTTGTGGTAATGCCTTACTCTCTTACTCTGATCCCATCTATTTAACCATTTGGATTGAAAGTTCGGTTAGGATTAAGAGTTGAATAAATTCTATATTTCTATCTTCTTCTTCTCCATCATTGAGCCTTCATCTTTCAATCTTCTTTGTTTTTAAGTCTTCTTTTTTGCCAGATCTGGAAGAGTGAGGCTCATCTTCTTCAAACCCGAAGCCAGAATCCAAAGGCTGTGAGTTTCGTTCACGGCACAAGCGACATAGATTATAGGTGGCACCAGCGAGATGTGGGAACGGTATTAAGCCTTGGTGGTTTGTCGGCTGGAGCTGGAGGGTCACCGCTGATTTTCGGTCAGCAGAGGAAGAGCAGTGGCAAGGTCTTGATAGTCATTTGGTGTTGTCAGCTTCGAGCTGAAGATGATTAACCGTGATTTGGGCTGGGTGGAAGGGGAGTCCAGAATTTGGGCTGGCGCCCGGAGTCTGTGTCGGCCGCCGAAGTTTGGGTCACCAGTTTCGGGTTGATGGGGCTGGACGATTTGGTTGTTCAGTTGGGGTTGGGTATATTTTAATTTTTCTTAATTTCCGAGCTCAGTCAAAGCAGAAAGAAAAATTTGGACAGATGGAGTACATAAAATGTTTTACAAAACTAGTGGTGACATAATTATTTTACATTATCAAAGGACTACTGAAAAAAATGAATAAAAATTGAACATGTGAATAGTAAACAGATAATTTCAGAGGAAATAGTTGAAAATGGTGCAGAATAGAAATATATTGAGCCACACTTCTGCAAGAATGAAAAGTGGAATCTTTTCTTAAGACGAAAAAAAAATGTGATGCTTTTTGTGAGATGTAGGGGGCAAAAATAAATAAATGCAGACGACTACTATAATATTTTATTTCTTTATATGAATATGTTAATGATTTTATTATATGTACTCTAGATGCATAGGAATTTATCATCAAAATGTGCATCTCTTAAAAAGATCCTTGATTTGCAATGGAAACAATATTTTTTTAATTCTAGAAAGAAGGTGTGGGATGCGTTGTTGAACGCGTAGTGCAGCGAAGTCTAACGAAGTTTTGGAACCTTCACTCACTCTACCTTTGACTTGGAGCACCTACGACCATTACTATGGAGCCAAAATGAGAAGTTGATAAAATCCTTGTGCACCGATGCACAAGAGTCGTCCGGGCTATGTCGAGCACTTCGTCTAAAGGGATCTCGAGATAGTGAAGCTAGCTAGGAACATGAGCTCAACTTATGGTATTGTATTTACAAAGTGCTCTTCAAGGCATTACAAGTTTTGCCTGTAGAAGTTTGGAACTCGAAACATTCCTGAATCGTTCGAAGGTGCCTATAAATCTATAATCACCCAAAGGTGAAGGGAATAATATTTAGCCCAGCCCACATTTCTCAATTATTGTTGAAGAAGAGTCAAACCAGGCTGATTTATCAAAAAGAGGAATAAAAGAATATTTCCCCAAAGATTCTCTAGCCTCTCTTATTAAAAGAGGGTACCTCCACAAGTTATGGGGGAGCCAATCACACTTCTTCCCTGTTAGTTACTCTTTCTCTCTCTAGTATTTTTATATTTTCGTTCTTCAACAAGCTTTAAGCTTTCATTAATGGCTTCCGAGCCCAAGTCATGTACCGTGTACTACCCCCGATATTAATAGAAATCTCCCATTGGCAAGGTACTGCCAAAAAAGGCATGTGGTTTTCTCCCGATTGGATTTCCACGTCAAAATCCCCGTGTTTGTATTTTTGTGTATTTTGTTAAACTAGTTTATCGTTCTTGCTCGGCTAAGAATAATATACCAGTCGAGATAATTTGCACCATCATTTTAGCGCCATCCGTGGGACCTAAACAAAAAGCCATGAATTTTCAATTCCTCTTCAATAGACCCAAAAATTCGGGCAGATTGGTGGTTAAAAAAAAGAAAAGAAAGGAGAGAGGGAGGGATCTTTTCTATATTTTTTGTGGTTGTGTTGGGAGCTCCTTCAAAAAAAAAAGAGAAGGAACGAAAAAAGAGAAGAACAAAGAGAGATGCTGGGGAGGGAACCAAGAAGAAGAAAAAGGGGAAAGAGAGAGGAAATATGTTCTGCCTTCTCCGCTGTGAGCCGCCACTCTGATGAAGATCTCCTCCGGTAACATCGGGGTGAGTCTCTGCCACTTGTGAACAAGAGATGTGGTGTTTTGGT